GGGGGGTGTTGGGTGGGGAGCCTGTCTCTAGTCCAGCTGGGACCCGCAAGCCAAACCATTTGTGAGTCATGGGGAGGCTGCTCCTGCCTGGGCCGGAACAAACTTCAAATGTGTCCAAGGCTCTTCCTGAGGCTGCCAGGCTGTAATTTGAAGCTGGCTTTGCTTCCACTCCGATGGCTTGCAGCGATCTGTCTGGAAATGCAAAATGATCCAAAAGCCAGGCTGCTGCAGAAAATGCCTCTATTTATTTAGTTTAATTTTTTTTTTTTGCGATGAGAGCATTTCTGCAGAGCTGGCTGCATGCAGCAGACTGTAAAACCAGAGCCTGCAGGGGCCTCTGGCTGGCCTCCCGAGATTGCCAAACAGAGATGCCTCACATGTGCCGCTTATGCAAAGTGGAGAATTGAACTTGAGGAGGGCGAGGCGACTGGTGGAAGGAATTTATGTGCCGTAGGCATGACAAAACCGAGCATCAAGCTTTCTGGAGCCAGCCAGGCTCCAGTGCCAGCCTGGACCAACTGGTTGGTAGGGGAGGCAAGTGCTCCTGGACGCCAGCCCCTGGAAAGTGAGTCATGTGTTTGCTGCAGGAGAGTCCCTCGCTTGGCCACAGCTTTCCAGCCTGAGGGAGGACAGGCTCTTCCTACCGACTTTCTCTATGCAGAGCATGTGCTTCCCCAAAAATGGGGCTAAAAATCAAGTTTAGGCCAGGAAGGCACTCTTCTCTCCCAGACACAGCAAAGGTGACTCAGCTGTATGTGGCTACGGCCAAGCCACACTCCTTCCTGAGAAGCCTCATCTGACACCTTATCTGGGAGGTTTATCTTCAGGAAAAAACCCAAACCTGAGCAGAAGCGGAACGTGGTGGTAGGCAGATGGCATCAGGTCTCTCTTCATGCAGTTGGACTCAAGTGTGTGAGCTGGACCTGGTCTCACAAGGCTGAGCTGCCCTTTGGGTTTTCCCACTCTTGCAAAAAGTCCTCTTGTGGATGGCAGATGGCTGGCACTTGACCTCTTGACGCCATTTTATTTATTTTTTTTTAATCCCACTCTTAAGTGAGAGAACTAGCAGGCAGTATGGCTAAACTGGGAAAGCAATGTCATGGTGACAATGTGTCAGGAAGCTGCTGGACGGATATGTTCTATACTTGAGAGGAACAAAAAAGAAAAAGTCCCCAAATCAACTGGAATTGGTGAAGCTCCAGGGAAACCTGGGGTAGCACCGGTGGTCTTGGTGCCTGAAATGAGAACAGACTGGGGGTGGCACCTGCTAACTCAATGCTAGTCCTTCCTCTCCCCTGCCCTTCAGTTCCCAGAAGAAAATCACCCTGCCTGCTGAAATAGCTCTCCTGTTCCAGTTTTATTTAACCCTGCTTTTAAAATATTCTTCACAAAGCTTTTTTTTTGTGTGTGTGTGTGTTCCTAAGGTAGTAGCTGCCTGCCTGTGCACTCCTGAGATAAGAGAGGCTCGCTGAGCCCTGCCTAGGCAAGGTGGCTTGAGCACTGGAGTAAAGGTTGCTTGTTTAGTCTGGCCAAAATTGCTGTTGGGGGTGGCTTTCTGCCTGGTTGTTTCAGTCCGGGTTCGTCTGGCTCCAGTCTGGAAATTACCTACGTGCCCTGGCTCCTGATGGGGGGATAGCAGAGGCTAGGGAGGCTCTGAACAAAGCTGTGCTGGCTGGCAGGGGGCAAAGGCCCTGTGTAAGCATTGAGGTATCTTGCTGTGTCTTGCAAAGAAGAGTGCCATAACAAGCCTCCCACAGTGGCTTCTTAGCCTGGCTTTTAATTTTTAAGATCTTCATAAGAAGAGAGATATGTGCATTACCCTGTTTGGTATAGACTGGCAAGGTGAAACAGACCCACTTCCTCCTAACCTTTAAACTGCAAATAAACCTTAAATGTGATCAACAAGTCTGGTCCTTGAAAAATGAACACGTGTATGTGATGAAGGGGCACCTTAGATGCAGGGCAATACCTTGAAGATCCTTGTGATCTGGGCAGGATAAGCTTCACAGATCACAAGCACTTCAGATGTGAAAGCGATGCGAGTCCTTGGGAGTTGCACTTCAGATGTGAAAGCGATGCAAGTCCTTGGGAGTTGCACTTCAGATGTGAAAGCGATGCAAGTCCTTGGGAGTTGTACTTCAGATGTGAAAGCGATGCAAGTCCTTGGGAGTTGTACTTCAGATGTGAAGTGATGAGTCCTTGGGAGTTGCACTTCAGATGTGAGTCCTTGGGAGTTACGGTGAGGCTGCAGGGGATATCCCAGCGAAGCCCTCCAGGCTGCGAGAAGCACCTAGCTTATCGGGACCCTTCCTCCAGCAACCGAAAGCCCTGAGCGTGGGTTTAAATGAAGAGGGGAGCTGGTCTAGCAGCTCTATGCAGTCCTGGTGAGCCTGGCCTCTGCCTACGAGGGACCAGCTCCAGCCCTCAGCTGAGCTGGCTCAGTTTGTTGATCCAGGAGGAAAATGCTTTGTTTCTTTTCTAGGTTCTTTTGTCATGCCAGTCGGCTGAAATCAGCCCAAGTGATGCGGCAGGATTAAGAGGCTGGGAGATAGCAGGTAAATTCAAGCCGTCTTTCTTAATTGCACTTGTAATTACCTTTCCTTTGGACCATACAGATAGCTAGCTGCCCAGTGAGAGCAGGGAGCAGGAGTCTGCCAGGCACGGCAAGAAAAACAAGCACCCGCCCCACCTCCTAGCCCCAGGCGACAAGATGGGAAGCCTGGAAGCGGGAAGCTCTGTTCTCCGGCACACCTCGTCTTTGCTGGTGTGCGCCTCCACGAGATGCCACCAGCCCAAAGCGAG